GCGCTCCCTCGGCGCGTGAACCAGATGAAATCTTTGTCATTCCCTGGCGTTTCCATTTCAGACTGTCGGGAAGCTCGGGGGTCCTTTTGGCCTCCGTCGAAGCCCCCCCATGTCGCAGCCCCCTGGCGTGACGGAGAAGGACCCCCAGAAAAAGGGCAGCGTGTCTCGGGAGGGTGGCAGGAAGAGGGGCACGAGAGAGAAGGAGCCGGTAGGACTGCTGACTCCAGACCTCGACTTGCTGGAGATGCACACTAAGCAGACCCTGAAGAAACTCGAATCGCCCAAGAAGGAAAAGGTGACACCTTCGCGTTGTACTTTGTCTCCCTCATTCAGAGCCCTGGTCCCCTTGTTCCTGCAAACCCCCAGTCTCCCCTCCCTTCCCACCTACTGCTCGCATGCCCCCCACCCTCCAGCCTCCCTCTGTCTGTCACCCCCACCCCAAATCTGGGACTGTTTTGCATGCAGGATTCAGGAAGTGTGCTGAAGTGTCAGGGGTGATCTTTAGCTGTCACGCTCAGGCCCTGTGCTTGCCGAAAGCTGACCACCATCACTGCCCGAGCCCTGACCTCTCTGGTGTTTTCTCCAACTCCCACCACCCCCCCCCCCACATCGACAGCGTGACGTGGCCAGCTCGCAGCTACAGCTTGATGCCCTGGAAGGTGAACTGGCGATGGATGCTACCGTTGGTCTGGATGACAATAAGCTGCGGTTCGTACTCTCCAACGGCAAGATCATGAGGCAAGTCTGCACAGGCTGTTCACACGAGGCTAGTTTCAACTCAATTAAACCCCCCCACGGTGTGTGTCTCTGTCCACCATCCCGCCTTGCAGTGCAGGTCCCTGAGGGGTTCAAGAGGGGAGGGTGCAGACGTAGACACAGATGTGTCGCTACACCCTGAATGGGGGTAGGAGATGGAGAAGGCAAGGTGCAGAGACAGAGAGAGGTATCTATGCACGCCCGTGTGTGGCTATACAGCTCTGACAGAGAGAGGAGAAAGACTGGGGTTGGGGGGGACAGGTGTGTGTGTGTGTGCACGCGCATGCACGTGTGGCTATACAGCTCTGACAGAGAGAAGAGAAGGGCTCGGGGAGGGGATGGTGCAGAGAGAGAGAGGAGGGGGTGGCAGGTCTGTTTTTTGTGTGTGTATGTCTATACAGCTCTGACAGAGAGAAGGAGGACTGGGGAGGGAAGGGTGCAGAGAGAGAGCAGGGGATGTACATGTCTGTGTCTGTGTCTGTGTATGTGTGTCTAAACAGCTCTTAGAGAGGAGAAGGACCATGGGAGGGGAGGGTGCAGAGAGAGAGGGGAGTGGGGGGGACAGGTGTGTGCACATGCGCGTGTGTGTGCATGCGTGCGCGTGTGCACATGTGGTTTTACAGCTCTGATAGTGAACGGAGAAGGACTAGGGAGGGGAGCAGGGTCAGATCTATGCATGCGTGTGTGTGTGTGTGTGCACTCACCCATCGCGAGCCTCCCCATGCCCCTGTGAACACAGAGGGGCTCTCACTCAGGGTGAATTTTGGCCTGTGTGGGCCTCAGGGTAGCTGTCAGCTCGCTAACGCTCTAATCCACCCCCACCTCTCCCAACGCAGCAACAAAGGAGCGAAGGTACCGCCCGCAGCTGGGAAGTTTGAGCCATTGCTCGGGATGCTGAAGGGAGTAAAACGCTGCTTCAAGGACGAGTATGATTATGATTCCGAAGACGATCTGCAGATCGATGAGACTCCACGCAAGGATCGTCGGGCCATGGCAGCCAGCAAGAAGCTACTGAGTAAGACCATGCTCCCATCTCTGTCTCTCCCCTCCGCCTGGCTATGGACCACCCCTGCCCCCGCCCCCCTCCCCCCCCCAACCCCCAACCGGCTTCAGTGTCTGTTTGTCTGTATGATGGGAGAATCTTGCTGCAGACATTCCTGATGGTTAGATTTCATGTGGTACCCACTGATTTTCTCCCCCCGCCCCCGGGTAAATATTCCCCATGGTTACCCACTACATCAACCCCTCTCTCTCTCTCACGCTGCAGTAACAGACTCCTGCCAGTATCTGGCGCTCTGAGCTGCTATGGAAGGAGAGATTTGGAGCTCAGCCGAGCATTCCTAATGAGCCCAGCTGCTGCTGTACATCGGTGGTGAAGGGAGGGAGGGAGTGCTGAAGGTGGGGGTTAGTGTGTCGATCAAGCGAGAGGAGGGGGTGCTGCTTTGTCCTGGAAGGTATCAGCCTTCTGGAGTGTTGTTGGAGCTGCACCCATCCAGGCATTTGGGGAGTATTCCCTCACCCTCCTGACTTATGCCTTGTCGATGGTGGGACAGGCTTTGGTGGGGGGGAAGTGAGGAGGGGAGCTACTCGCTGCAGGATTCCCAGCCTCTGACCTGCTCTTGTAGTGATTATGGGGCTGGGTCCAGTTCAGTTTGTGGTCAATGCTAAGACATTCCCCACCCCAGGCTGTTTGCACCATCATGTCCTCATGAACTCTTGCTGTTCCTTTCTGTCAGAGCTACCACGCCGGTTACCCCGGGCACAGCCCTGTAAGGACCCAACTCGCAAGAGGGAGCCAGGAGAGGTTGACTTCGACATTGTGGTGAGGAGGCTTCTCGTTTTATACCCCCTAAACCACCAATTTCCACCACCCCACCACCGCACACCCGTGTTCACATATGCACACACCCACCCCCACGCACTCACTCACTCGGTTATGTGCACACACACCCCCATGCACACATGTATACACTCACACTCCCCCCACCCCCCGCCCCAACACTCCCTCACTCACTCACATAGCCACGTGCACCCTGCCCTAGTCACTGCCTCACTCTGGTGCTGCTACCTGTCGACAGGAGGATGACTCCACAGATGAAGACTCGGTGATTAACATTGACATCGGGAATGGAGAAGGAGGAGCTGAGAGTGCAGGGGCCACTGGCTCGGCTGGCATCCTGGACCTGCTCAAGGCCAGCAAAGAGGTTGGAGGACTGGAATACAGTTCGCAAAGGTAACGTGTACCCCCACTCTTTCCAACTAATACCAGTGCCCCCCTCCTCCCCCTTACCACACCCTTAAACCTCCCACCGCACTGTCAGAGGGTCAGTGCAGAGGGAGTGCCGCACGGTCGGAGGGTCAGCGCTGAGGGAACGGGTGCTGTTGGAGGGTGGGTG